GAATCAGTCTCTTTGATCTTGAGGTAAACCGACTCATTAACATCAAGCTTCCACCTGGGGTTTTTCCAGACACTGAAGTGGTTGCCTAATTCCCAGCTGTCTGGAGTTTCCAGTCCAAACCGGCCTTGGGTGTGTATGTGGGACGGGGGAAGGGGGGGGGTCCCATCATCTTGATAGAGCTCATGCCCCTTTAAAATACGGATCTGTACTACTAATCCAATAGACTAGTGGCTTCAAAAATATTTTTAAAGGTAACTAAAAACAACCCAGGTAGAGTGAAAATAAATTATTCCACTCAGTTTGGAACTAAATATGTAGGTACAGGAAGATAAACAGTGAAAACAGGACAGAGGTAGAAGGCATTCAGAGAGAGGCAGAAAAGTAGAAAAAGATGACAGCGAAAGCCAAAAGTGAACATTGAGAAAGGGAAATGTAAAATACACAGAGGCAGGAGGATTGCTTGAGGCTAGCAGTTTGGGAACAGCCCAGGCAACATAGTAAGACCCCCATCTCTACAGAAAAAATTTTTTAAATTTCAGGCATGGTGGCTCATGCCTATAGTTCCAACTGCTTGGGAGGCTGAGGCAGGAGGATCGCTGGAGGCTAGAAGTTTGAGGCTGTGGTGAGCTGTGATCACTGCACTTCAACCTGGGTAAAGGAGTGAGACTCTGTCTCCAAAACAACAACAAAAATACACAGAGACAGTTGGGATGAGGGAAGTGAAGAAATGGGTAAAAAGTGAAAAACAGGGAAAAGAAAAAAGAAAAAAAGAAGAGGGGTAACTAAACAAGAGCCATGGTAATCAGCAGCTCTCACTAAATTTCCAGAAGCCTCTCCTACCTACCCATCCAGAGATCATCTGCACTGCACCATGAATTAATCAGCATGTAAATCACTCCCTTTATCTTCGGAAATTGAATTTAGCTGCCAATCCTGATGGAGAGCATAAAGGCCTCCTCACAGAAAGATCACAGCTCTCAGGGAGAATGCCTTTTCTTTCCTTAAATCAAAGCTCGCATAAACCCATGGAAACAGCTGCAGCTGGAGCCACAGACTTTGTGAAAGGTAGCAGGCTGAGGATAGTAATTATAATTAGCAGTTACATAACATGTTTGTTCTTCAAAGTGCTCTACAAGCATCAGCTAATTAATAGCTTACTATGCCCCATGCAGATCCACTGGTTTTTCCTGCGGTGACTAATTCTTATACCCCCATTGAATTCTGAATGGTGGAGGCAGAGTAGCTTGAGCAATGAAGCAAATGGCTGAGGGTCATATACTCAGCTCTTACCAAGTGACTCCAGTGGTGGCTCTGTGTCAGGAATGCTTCCCAAAATGTTGAATTTAGCATTCCAGGAGGCGGCTACCTCCCTTCCTCCAAATAATTCTTGGAGGCGCTATTGCAAATGCAATGATAGGTTGGAGTGACCATCAGTCTAGTCCAGTGTGGCATTAGCTCTTCTCAATTTCTCCAATCATTAAGACTGGAACGCTGGAGTCTTGGGTGTCAGTTACACGTTTGCCCTTGCTCCTCTGTGCAGGCTGGGCAAGTCAATGAGACCTCTCTAAGAGAAGGCTGCATTATATCTCTAGGTTCTCATCCAGGTCTGTCCTTCTTTGTTTTTCTGATTGCAGTCTCTGACCTACATCCTCTTGAATTTGTGAGGGAGATGACCAAATGTAGGAATTGCGTGGCATACACAGGGCCTCAACATCACAGCTGAGCTTTCTGTCTATGCCAAGAATGCTTTACTCAAAGATTTCAGGGGTCCAGAAACACCTTGAATTTACTCGTAAAACATTATATGTGCATGTGTATGTGCATATCTTTGGGGAAAAGGCTGTTTCCCCTGCTGCACTGTGGATTCCAAGGGGGTCATGCCAACAAAGTACCTGACATATAGTGCCTGCTAAACAGATTTCTATTGAATGAATGGACAGAGTTCCTCAAATTCCCATCCCCAACATAGTTATGAAACATTGCTCTATGCCTGAATAATCCCCAGGGGGCCTACATGTTTTGTTTGCTCTAGCTAGACTTTCCGATGGAAAATGTTGATGGGCAAGACCTGAGACGTTCTACCACAATTCTGCTGCTAGTTAAACCAGAGACCCAGATCAAAGTTCCTGGAGATTTCGCTCTTCAGAGACCTGTCTTCAGAACCAAGCAAGTCAACAGCCAGAAATCTATTCCCAGGGACTATGTGACAACCATTTGTCACACCTTCTGATCAACCATCACAAATAGTAAGAATTACTGCCTTTTCTCACCTTGTCCCTCGGAGGCAGAGGTGTGAAATGAATCATGTAGCAGTGCACATTTCTGATTCATGAGAAGGTCTTCACGTGAGGCTAACAACTTGAGGAAAAAGACTAACATGTGCATGGTGCTTTCAGCTTTCTAAAATGTGCCCCACAGATTATCTCCTTTGATGCTTTCTCAACACTCTTTGAGGTAAGAAAGACAGACTTTAATTCCCCATTTTATAGATGAGGAAACCTAGGCTCTGAAAGCTTTGCCTAATGACACACAGCAAATACATGGCATTGCTAGAATATGAACTGAATGAAGTCTCAAAACTCCTTTTTTTTTTTTTTTTTTTTTTTTTTTTGAGACGGAGTTTCGCTCTTGTTACCCAGGCTAGAGTGCAATGGCGCGATCTCGGCTCACCGCAACCTCCGCCTCCTGGGTTCAGGCAATTCTCCTGCCTCAGCCTCCTGAGTAGCTGGAATTACAGGCACGTGCCACCATGCCCAGCTAATTTTTTGTATTTTTAGTAGAGACGGGGTTTCACCATGTTGACCAGGATGGTCTCGATCTCTTGACCTCGTGATCCACCCGCCTCGGCCTCCCAAAGTGCTGGGATTACAGGCTTGAGCCACCGCGCCCGGCAAAACTCCTTTTTTTTATTGAGACAGAGTCTCACTCTGTTGCCCAGGCTGGAGTGCAGGGGCATGATCTTGGCTCACCACTGTCTCTCGGGTTCAAGTGATTCTCCTGCCTCAGCCACCTGAGTAGCTGGGACTACAGGTGTGTACCAACACACCTGACAAATTTTTAATTTTTTGTAGAGATGGGGTCTCACTATCTCACCCAGGCTGGTCTTGAACTTCTGGGCTCAAGCAGTCCTCCTGCCTTGGCCTCCCAAAGTGCTGGGATTACAGGTGTAAGCAAACGTACCCAGCTAATTTTTGTATTATTAGTAGAGATGGGGTTTCAGCATGTTGGCTAGGCTGGTCTCAAACCTCTGACCTCAAGTGATCCACCTTCCTCAGCCTCCCAAAGTGCAGGGATTACATGCATAAGCCACTGTGCCTGGCCTCAAAACTCCTTTTCACCAGCAATTCCAATTCTGGATATATATCCAAAAGAATTGAAAACAGAGATATGCAAAGAGATATCTGTGCATACATTTCGTAGCAGTATTATTAATAATAGCCAAAAAATAGAACATACATGAGTGTCCATCAGTAGATTAATGGATAAACAAAACGTGGGATACTCATACAATGGACTATTATTCAGCCTTAGAAAGAAAGGAAATGCTGATGCAGGTTAAAACATGGATGAATCTTAAAGACATTATGCTTAGTGAAATAAGCCAGTCTCAGATGGACAAGTACCACATGAGATACCTACAGCAGTCAAATTCACAAGAGACAGAAAGTAGAATGGTGATGTTCCAGGGGCTGTGGGGAGGGGCGAATGAGGAGTTGTTGTTTAATGGGTGTAAAGTTTCAGTTTTGCCAGATAAAAAAGTTCTGGTGATTGGTTTTGCAATAACATGAGTATACATAAACATATATACTATAGTATACATAGCACATTTAGAAATCGGTAAGATGGTGTACTCATCAGTTTCATGTTGCTATAAAGGAATATCTGAGACTAGGTAATTTATAAAGAAAATATGTTTATCTGGCTCATGGTTCTGCAGGCTGTACAGGAAGCAAGGCACCAACATCTGCTTCTGGTGAGGAAGTTGACAATCATGGCAGAAGGCGAAGAGGGAGCAAGCATGTCACATGGCAGGAGAGGGAACAAGAGAGAGAGAGAGAGAGAAGGAGGTGCCGGGCTCCTTTTTACAACCAGCTCTCATGTGAACTAAGAGCAAGAACTCATCACCAAGGGGAGGACACAAAGCCATTCCTGAGTGATCCACTCCCATGACCCAAACACTTCCCGCCAGGCCCCACCTCCAACATTGGAGACCACATTTCAGCATGAGATATGGAGGAGACAAACATCCAAACTATATTAGATGGTAAGCCAGGGTCCGTGGCTCACACCTGTAATCCCAGCACTTTGGGCCTAGGCAGGCAGATCACTTGAGGCCAGGAGTTCGAGCCCAGCCCGTGCAACATAGTGAAACCCATCTCTACTCAAAATACAAAAATTAACTGGGTATGTTGGTGGGCACCTGTAATCCCAGCTACTCGGGAAGCTGAGGCAGGGGAATCACTTGAACCCGGGAGGCAGAAGTTCTAATGAGCTGAGATCACACCAGTGCACTCCAGCCTGGGTGACAGAACAAGACTCCATCTCAAAATAAAATAAAATAAAACTATATTCGCTGATAAATTTTATGTGTTATGTGTGTTAACACAATTAATAAACATTAAAAAACGATTTTTCGTCATACCACCTTTTCTCTGAAAAGTGGTCAATAGGTGTTAAGTTAGGAGTATGCCCCTCTGAGGAAATGGTTCATGGAGAAAAATTTCTCAGCCAGCCAAGCAGAGGAGACAGGAATCACAGCGATTTAAGGTAAGTCTCAAGAGGTGGATGCATAATATTTTCTATCCAACTTATTTTCCCAATCCACCCTCTAAATCTTCAGGATTTAGCTGACAAATCTAAAGCCAGGTGCACAACTAGGTAAATAGCAGAGTTGGGCACAGTACATAGAGTGAAGCAGCAATCAGATCATTTTAGGCCCTCAGCTTCCGCTAGTTGTTTTGTTCCTGGGTAGCAGGAGCCCAGAAGAACAGAATCTGTACCTGTGCATGTTAAAGTGCTTTCTCTCCAGGTGCCTTTCTCTGTGCAAACGGAAGTGATCTTTCCTCCAGGGCTCTCAAAGCCCTCCTGACAGACGTAGCGAGCCACACCACCCACCCTGGAGCTGTGGTTTTCTACCAAGATGGCATGCCGCATTTCTGGAGGGTTGCCACAGTTGATCTCTGCAATGGGAAAGCAACACATCACTGGTTGTAAGCCCTGTCTTCCAGCCCTACAATTCTTATATTTAAAATAAATATCTAATAGAGGCCACTCAAACAAGAAAAGCGAAAACACTAATCCCATCAAATAATCCAATGTAGGTATGTCTGAATTTAATAAAATCTCCAAACACGCACACATAGAGAATAGTCAAATTATGAGATTATTTACTTGTGAAGAATTCCAGTCTCGGTGCAGTGGCTCATGCCTGTAATCCCAGCACTTTGGGAGGCCAATGGTTGGGAGTTCGAGATCAGCCTGACCAACATGGAGAAACCCCATCTTTACTAAAAATACAAAATTAGCCAGGCATAGTGGCACATGCCTGTAAGCCCAGCTACTAGGGAGGCTGAGCCAGGAGAATTGCTTGAACCCAGGAGGCGGAGGTTACAGTGAGCCAAAATCTCGCCACTGCACTGCGGCCTGGGCAACAAGAGCAAAACTCCACCTCAAAAAAAAAAAAAAAGAATTCCTTGGTCTATGAAATATATCTTAGGGTTCTTTCAAATGCTACAGTTCTCTGGTACATTTTACTATGTATCTTCCACTTATCAACCCCAGAATAGATGCTAATGCAACCGTAGCAATTATTGCCAACTGATTGTTAAATAGACTACATTCAAAATGTCTGGACTTTTTAAAACAAATTAATGGAGAAAGTAATTATCTCCTAAAGATTCAACTTATATGCACCTTTCAAAGAAAAAAAATCAGTTGCATAGGAGGAAACAAACCCAGAATTACAAAATTGATAAGAAATGTTTTTTCTAAACTCTGACTACTAAAAGACAATTAAATATTTACAAAGAACTATCTAAAAGTAAAAGATTATGACATGACCATTCTAGACCCAGCCAAACTATACCTTACTTAAGAGCCCAAGAAAGATATTTTCAGATATTTTAGAATTTTTAAAAAAATCTATCTGTGTACCTTTCCTAGGGAAAAAAATCAAAAAGATGAATCAGAACAAATATCATAAGAATAAGCGTGCAGGGTAGACAGGTTTTAGAAAAAAACACCAAGGAGCAACGAAATCAGCAAGCTGTACGGATAAGTCTCCATAATCATTTAAACGTGATTGCCGAGCTTCATATAACTATTAGTAAAGGATTCTAGAACTAAAAGCTGAACAATGTAAAAAAATAAATAAAAAATAAATTAAAAAAATTAAAAAAATAATAATAATAAAAATAAAATTTCAAATTATTTCAATAAAACCAGAGCAGTGAGTTGATAGGAAGATGTAAAGCATACTAGTGTTTCATGTTATACAATAGCACTCATGGATACAATGTTATTCAATAAAGTATAATAAATATATAATAAGATGGTTATAATAATTTCTAATGTAACCAATAGTCCAAGTAACACCAAAATACAGAAAGAAAAAAAATCTGTTCTGCCACGGTAAGAGAAAAAAAGAAAAAAACTTATGGCATTCATTCTGATTTTTAATTTTCTCCCCAATCTGTAGAAAGCCAAGACAATTAAGCCCTTCTGACAATGAGGCTTTTTAAACAGAAGTCCTTTTATTGAAATAACAGCATTCAAACTAGAGAAAATTATATAACCTGTTCCCATATCCCCATCAACCATCCTTGGCCTTAGAAATAGATGGCTTCTTTTAAATGAGCCTCAGATACAGAATGCAGGGATTTAATGGAATTGCACTCTTTTCCATCTTATTATGGATGCTTGATCTGTTGCAGGACTCCAGAGTTATTTCCAGGAGGAAGACTTCCCAGAGCAAGATCTCATCTAATTTCCAACCCTGTCTACCTCTCATGTCCCACGTTTGCCCACAGAGCTTTGTTCACTTTTCATGCATAGTCACCAGACACAAGACCCCTTGGCCCTCATCATGTTTTCCCAGCATCAAATCTTTAGACATGTTTAATGGCCCCAGGCATTCCAAGAATGAATGTATTTGTGTGTACACAAGCAACCAACTAAACAGTTGGTTAATGTTTCATAAGACTGCCTAGTCATTGTTGACATCTGAACCATCTTCTAATTTAAGACAGAGTTCAGTTACAGCAGGAAGTAGAGGGAAAATCACTAAAGAGGTTGGAGCTATAGGTTCATGTACACTGAAGGTGGAAGCTTAAAGTGCTCAGTGGAGAAGTCTGGGAGGGAACCCAGCAGCAAATCATTGGATTAGGGAAGAAGCACAAATACAAAAGGCATGAAGGTACAAAAGATAACTAGATTGGCTTCTATCTTGGATGTGACCAAGAATACTGGAAGGCATGATGACTTTAGTTGGGACTGCAAGATTTTTTTTTTTATTACCAAATATCACCCAATTGATTAAGAAATCAATAACTTGTTCTCTAGGGATTAAGGCTCAAAGGCTCAGGTGGATGCCCCGTTGGGAAGAAGCCTGGATCTGTGGCTCTGTGAGCTCCCCATTAACAGAGCTATTCAAGTTGGACAATCCCTCAGCCACAGATATTTAGAGAGGATTCCGGCATGGCTTAGATTAAATGCATGGTTCTAACAGCTATACATCTGAATCCCCTGGGAAACTTTAGAAAAATGCATGTGCTGGATGTGGTCTTTTAAAAACCTAAATCAGATTTTTTAACTCCCACCCACAGTTAACTCTTCTGATTCAGTGGTACTGCACTGGGTTCTTGGTATCCATGTTTCTACAAAGCTCCAAGTTTGATTTTGGTGCACTCCCTCAGCTGAGAATCTGAATGAAATCCTGGTACAAATGGCTACCATTTGTCATCACATGCATTCCAATAGGATCTTAAGTGTAAAGTGTTACTATTCACAATAACCATCCATGTTAAGGATTATTTTCCCCACTGTACAGGTGAAGACAACTCAAAATTAAGTGATACATACAAAGTTACACAGGCAATTATGGGAAGCTAAGGAGTTGAAGGCATGTCAGCCATATTCCTTTCCCTACACCCACTTCTTGAAAGTTGGCCAGGCGCAGTGGCTCGCACCTGTAATCCCAGCCTTTTGGGAAGCCAAGACAGATCACTTGAGACTGGCAGTTCAAGACCAGCCTGGTTAACATGGAGAAACCCTGTCTACTAAAAATACAAAAATTAACTGGACATGGTGGCATGCGCCTGTAATCCCAGTTACTCAGGAGACTGAGGCACAAGAATCACTTGAACCCAAGGCAGAGGTTGCAGTGAGCTGAGATCGTGCCACTGCACTCCAGCTACAGCAACAGAGTAAGACTCCATCTGAAAAAAGAAAAAATGCTGTTCCAGCTCTGCACGTCTACAGTCCCTGCACATCCCATCTCAGTTTAGTCTCCTCTGCTTTTACATTTATACCTTCTTCTCCAGGTACACTCTGTCTCCCTCACACTGAGCAAAGTCCTTCCCAGTGCCTGAACTGACTAGCAGAGGAGGAATCCTGTCTTCCTCTGAACTGTTATGATCCATGTCCATTTGTTTATTTATTCCCATATTTATTGAATGCCTTGTACATGCTAGTTACTATAACAGTGAACAAAATGGGTAAGATTTCTGCCCTCATGGAGCTTAGGGAGAGTCAATAGACAAAAAATAAAAATAAAAATAAGTCAACACATAACTGTGATAGTGGTAAATGTTATGTACGAATAATAATAATAATGATTATTATTAAGTGATAGAATGGAGAAAACTGTTGTTGTTGTTGTTGATGTTGTTGTTGTTGTTGTTGTTGTTGCTGTTGAGGTTGAGGTGATCTCACTCTATTGCCCAGGCTGGCATGCAGCGGTGCTATCACAGCTCACCACAGCCTTGACTTCCCAGGCTCAAGCAATCCTCCCACCTCAGCCTCCTGAGGAGCTAGGACCACAGGCATGTACCACCATGCCCAACTAATTTTTTGGGTTTTTTTGTAGAGACAGGGTCTCTCTCTGTTGCCCAGGCTGGTCTCATACTCTTGGACTCAAGTGATCCTACTGGCCTCAGCTTTGAACAATCTTTTTTCTTTTTTTTGCACGGCGGATGGTGGGGGAGTTGTGTGTGTGTGTTGTTTGTTTGTTTGTTTGTTTGAGACAGAATCTCACTCTGTCTCACTCAGCTGAGATCTGCTGGAGTGCAGTGGCACGATCTCGGCTCATTGCAACCTCCATCTCCCGGGTTCAAGCAATTCTTGCGCCTCAGCCTCCCAAGCAGCTGGGACTACAGGCATGCACCACTACACCTGGATAATTTTTTGTATTTTTAGTAGAGATAGGTTTTCGCCATGTTGCCCATGCTGGTCTTGAACTCTTGAGCTCAAGTGATCTGCCTGCCTTGGCCTCCCAAAGTGCTAGGATTACAGGCATGAGCCACCATACCCGGCCTTCAATTTATTTTATGTTATGTTATGTTATTTTATTTTATTTTGGATGAAGTCTCACTCATTGCCCAGACTGGAGTGCAGTGGTGCAATCTCAGCTCACTGCAATCTCCATCTCCCAGGTTCAAGCAATTCTCCTGCCTCAGCCTCCTGAGTAGCTGGGATTACAGGCGCCTGCCACCATGCCCAGCTTATTTTGTATTTTTAGTAGAGATGGGATTTCATTCTGTTGGCCTAGCTGGTCTCAAACTCCTGACCTCAAGCGATCCTCCCAGAAAAACTTTTTTTTTTTTTTTTTGAGACGGAGTTTCGCTCTTGTTACCCAGGCTGGAGTGCAATGGCGCGATCTCGGCTCACCGCAACCTCCGCCTCCTGGGTTCAGGCAATTCTCCTGCCTCAGCCTTCCGAGTAGCTGGGATTACAGGCATGCGCCACCATGCCCAGCTAGTTTTTGTATTTTTAGTAGAGACGGGGTTTCACCATGTTGACCAGGATGGTCTCGATCTCATGACCTCGTGATCCACCTGCCTCAGCCTCCCAAAGTGCTGGGATTATAGGCATGAGCCGCCGCACCCGGCAGAAAAACTTTTTAAATAGAGTAGTCAGAATGATTTGATCTCTCTGAAGAAATTACACGTACAATAGGACCTGA